ACTTGGAGCTGTATTTTGCTGGGAGTCAAACAGATCCAAATCACCTGACAAGCCTTTAGTTCTATCCCTCTTAGAATCCCTTCCCTCTAAGCCCCTTATTATACTGCCTCTATCACCAGAAATTGTCAACCCAGTTGTATGGGATCTTTCTCCTCCAGCTGCAGCCTCTCACCACCAATCTGTACTTATTACTCTGAAAGATCCCTCCTCTTTTCCTGCTATACCCCAATTCCCTATCTCTGCACAACAGTGCAGAGGTTTAAAACCCATTACTACTTGCCTACTTTCCAATAAGCTTCTTATCCCCCAAAACTCTCTGTGTAATACCCTGATCCTACCAGTTAAAAGAGCTGAACTCCATCTACTCTTCCTCGAAAACCCTGATATTTCTCTCTCTCAATCACCTTCTCTTAATCCAGCCACCCTATGGACTCTTTACTTCCCTCCCTGTCTGATCAACCCAACCCTAACCAAGAACACACTCTGCTTGTTGATGGTAGCTCATTGCAAGACCTCTTAAGGTTGCCATCAGGAAGCCTATACTGTTTTCATAAACAGTGTATGGAAACCAGTAACTTCCTATTTCCTTAGCTTGTGTCAGAGCAGCACTTCGTTCATCATCCTTCCTAAGCCCCTTCGAGCTGATGTATGGCCAACTGTTCTGCTCAACCATAACCTACCCACTCAACCTCCTCTTTTAGCATCATGCCTTCCTTATCTCTCCCTTCTGAGGTAATTACTCTCTGAACATTAAGACTTCTACATACCCAGACACTTGCCTGAAAGCCTAGACCAAGGAGCTGGAATCACCCAGGATACACCATCCATAATGAATGGCGTGCACCCAAACCTCTTCAACCACACTAAGACAGACCTTACATAGTCATCCTAACTACCCCACAGTGGTTAAGATCATAGGTAACCCCCATTGGCATGACCTTTCCCAGGTTAAACATACTCCTCTCGCTGAGCAGACCTCCTACGCCTCTCAAATGTTGGGCCCCACTATTCTTCACCTCACTCAGATCCCAAGCCCTAAGTAGCTCTTCATATTGTTACTAATATACTAAGAACTGTAATAGGTGGATTTTCTTGAACAAAACCCCCAAAATTAACTTGTAACATGACAGTGAGTCAAAGCTGAAGCAGCAGTCAAAGATACACATCTAATTAAACTTTTCTGTTAATCCAAACATTCTGTGTATAGCATTCTTATGTTATTAGGTTCCATATTTCATTATATAAAAATTACATAAATAACATATCTGTAATAATAACATTAATATAACAATGGTAGAAACAAAGACTTTGGGGGAGATCCCAGTACAGGGCTTCATTGATCTCAGCCGAAGCCACTGACATGGTGTTGAGTAGGAATTAGCAATCCTAATTCTAGTGGGGATAGAAAGGCCCTATATGGCTTCTAAGGCTCTAATCATTATGGCAAAAGCCATATCTTTCCTCAAAGAGAACTGGCAGATTCCAACAAATCAGTAATCTTGAAGCTGACAGCTAAGCACTTAACCACTAATCATTCTCTCAAGGGGACCCAGTTATATTTCAAGGAGAAAACAAAACAAAAAATAAACTTACTCTTTCCATAAATTTACTTTTTATTCTCATTCATTATGAAACTTTAAAACATAAACTGTCAATGATATCATGGGCTAGCTCCTTTAAAGACAACTTGCACAGTTCTCTGCTGTGATTTGTTGTTATTGTAAGCCATAAGACACAATAGCTGACCTTCCAGCAGTTTTTCAAACATTATTAATCATAAGGAACGAAGTGCCCATCTTTCTTTCAAGGAGTCACTGGTGAATTCAAACTGCCCGCTTTTCTGTTGGCAGCACGATTCCTTACCAATAGCCACCTGAGTATATTCTGTTGCTACCTTTAGGTTCTTCTCAGAGTCATCCACAGTTTGCTGTGACCTACACAGTCAAATGCCTTTGGATAGTCAATGAAACACAGATAGACATTCCTCTGGTACTTTCTGCTTTCAGCCAAGATCCATCTGACATTAGCTATAATATTCCTAGTACCACAGCCTCTTTTAAATCCAGTCTATACTTCAGGCACTTCTCTGCTGATGTGCTGTTCAGTCGGTTTTGGATAATCTTTAGCAAAATCTTGCTTGCATGTGATATCAATGATACTGTTCAAAAATGTCCACAGTCTGTTGGATCACCTTCCTTTAAAATGGGAACAAATATAGATCTCTTCCAGTAAGTTGGCCAGGAGGGTGAAGCCAGGCTTCTCCTCGGAGGCATGGATTCTGAAGCTTCTTCTGACATACTTTGGACATGTTGCAAGGTGGGATCAGTCTTTGGAAAGAGACATCATGCTTGGGAGAGCAGAGGGACAGCACAGGAGAGGAAGGTGCTTGATGAGATGGAATGATTCAGTGACTGGGGTAATGGGGGAAGGTGTATCAGAAACAATAAGATTGTCACAGAATAGAGCACAGTTTAGGGATGTTGTACATAGGGTCACTATGAATCACCGGTGACTCAACAGCACATAACAGTGACAACAACAATCTTTAGGTTCACTTGTTGCTGTTCTGTCTTTGATATTGCCTCTGGTACTTTCATAGTTACTATTTCTGTCACCATCACATAAATTCTGAAAAATTCCTAGCACAGTCTCCTTGTACAAAGTATTCATTTCTTTTATGGCTCTTGCCAATAAGGCAACTCCCTTGGAACTTCATTGTTCTAAGACTTTTATCAGACTCTGATTGAGACCCCTAGTCATTCTACAAGAAAATTGTTTCCTTAGTGGAGCTGCCCAACCAAATGGTTACCAAGTAAGACCCATAGGCAATCTGGATAAAGGCCCATTTAGGTGGTGCTTAGAAACCAAGATCCACAGACTAAATAGCTTTTTGGTTAATTCTAGATCATGTTGTAACCTACTTCCTAATTGGGGAGTCAATAGAATTCACTATGGATTACACCTCAACATCAAGAAAACAAAAATCCTCAGCACTGGACCAATAGACAACATCATGATAGATGGAGAAAAGATGTCAACTGTCAGTGATTTCATTATACTTAGATGTACAATTAACACTCAGGGTAGCAGCAACAAAGAAATTTTTTTAAATAAAATGCATTCGGAAAATCTACAGACAATGTATCCAAAGTAGAAAAGTGTAAGCATGTTATTTTAGAGACCTGATCCAAGCCATAATGGTTTCAATTGCTTGATAAACACATGAAAGTTGAAAAATGCATATGGAAGAATGGAAGAACTGATACCTTCAAAATATAATATTGGCAAAGAATATCGGATATGCCAAGAGAACAAAGAAGTCTATATTAGAAGAAGTACAACCAGAGAGCTCTTTAGAGACAAGGGTGATGAGACTTTGTCTCACACACATTGAATATATTGTCAGAAGCGGCCGGTCCCTGAAAGAGGAGATGAAATTGAGAAAGGTAGTGGGTTCAGTGAACAACGGAAAACTTGTACGAAGATGGAGTGACACAGTGATTAAAACAGTGGGTATAAACATGACAAGGATGGTAAGGATGGTTCAGGATATGGCAAAATTTCGATTTGTTATTCATATGACCATGATGACTCAGAGTTGACTCTATGACATCTAACAACATCTGGCATATTTCTTAGAGAAAAATGGCTTTTTTTCTTGTAACTGCCATGGTAGGCGGCAAGTTGAGGACTCATAAACATTTCAATTTTATCAATATTATAAAGAATTATGTTCATCTTTTGCCAAGGATAGAAAGAAAATTTGTAAACAGCAATTAAATACAACGAAAACTCATAAACCAGTCACAAATAGGATATGACTTTACAAGAAAGTGGATTTATTTCTCAGTGAGAACAGGGCCATTTGGAAGCTCCACTGCAGATGAAGCAATAATTTTTTATGTGTTTTTAAACAAATTCCCACATGGAAAGTAAAACTAATATAATGTGGATGACTTCATAGTTGTACTCTGGATTTAATGAAAAATGAACTTCATTTCTAAGGTCAGAATAAGTTTATCTACAACACTACAATGGCAAATATATTTCTTGTTGATAAATTCTTCCTATGAAGCAAATACCTGTAGAAGTCAAGTAAGTGAATGAAGCAGGTTAAATAAAGAAACAGTGGTTGTGACAGTGCAATGGAAAGCTTGTGACTTGATGATGAGATGGCTACTTCTTCAGCAGTAATAATAGAAAACTCAACTCACAAGGGCTTAAACAATAAAGAAACTTTATTAATCTCACAAGTCCCAAAAAGTGTTAGCTATCTCTGCTATTAATTAATACATCAGTTCAAAGACATCAGTAAAGAGCCGGTTTTTATTCCTTTCATCTTTCTGCTCTATTTTATTCAGTGTATCAACCCAGCCCTGTTAATCACGACATTAGGATATCTAGATGGCACATCCAGAGGAAAGGATAAGAAAATATTTCCCAGAAATTCTCCAATATACCTTTTGATTATTTCACATGGAGGGGAAGGGAAATCCAACACCAAAGAAATCACAAACAAACAAACAAAAAACAGAGGTATGACCTATGAGGCATACCTCCAAGTAAACAACTGGGAAGGAAATGAGATTATTATGCTTGCTTTTGAACCTGAATGTAATAGGAGTTTTGCAAAGCAAGAGATAAGGGGAATATTTGGCAAGCCACTTACAGAGCTTACTCTACCACCACTTAGTAAAGCTGACTGTTGGTTTTAGGCAACATATCTCCAGTGTTGACAGACTATCTAGTTACTTTTTAAAAGCTGGAAAACTGAAAGTTTATGCAAGAACTCTCAGTTTTAAAATATTGGCAATAAGTTAAAAAAAATACTACGTGGTTAACATCTTTCAGGTCAAATGAAGTACATCCGTAGTCTGGACATGACCTGTGGGATCAGCACTCTCTTTATGATATCAACATACCAAAATAATTTTTTTCATACTGAAACAAAGTTTACTGTAACCTTGCCAGTAATATAAATAGCTATGGGAGACTATTTTTTACTTATTATCACAAGATAGCTGGAAGAGAAATATAAAACAAATAACGCTTAAATAATTTTATTCTGGACGGTGGGTTCTATATTAGTGCATAAAACAATCAAGATACAACTACTTATGTAATGATAGATATAAAATTGTTATTCTCACTCTATCCAGTTTCCTGTGATTTTTTATTTATTTGTTTTTCATAAGAGTTAATTTCTACTAATAAGAGAAAGTCAAGGTTTCCAAAATATTTATTAGTTTCATAACTAAAACAAAACAAAACACAACTCCAAAGATTGGAGATTGGAGTGTTAAGTCATGTAAGTCGACATGAAACTTTATATCTCCTCCTTCATAGTCATCTACCTGCCCAGCGGCATCTTGTCTGAAAAATAAATCTTTTCTAATCTCTTGAAAATGTAACATAATCAAAAAGATGTCAACTTCTTGGACATCAAAAGCAAATAATATGGAAGTAAGTCTATGTCTCTTGAATCACGGTTTTCCAGACTTCTTACTTTTCCGGACGTCTTTCACCAATTCTTGTTTGGCCATTGCTTCAGACTTTTGGATTTGAGCCCTAAAAACCAAAATTCTCAAATGATGAACTTCTTTAAAAAATCAGATGTTTTATATAATTATGAAGTACTTGCTGCCCCTAGATTTCAAATGAATTCTTTTCCTGTTTATCTTTAAGTTGAACTATGAAAGTCAAAACAACTAGGTATGCCCAACATCAGTTAGTCAAATGTTTGTCTTAGCATACTGTGTACATAAATATGCATTTAAACATTAAAGGAAGATCTCCAGACACACTTAAAGAGCTTTTAGCAACACAACAGTAATGCTAATAATGATTTGATGAGAATTATCCTGTTTGTTATTACAAACCATTTCATGTATCTCAAATTTTAACATAGTTGGCTTTGGGGGGTTAGTTTATAATTATAAGTTGTTCTTAAGTCAGTTGTTCACAACCCCATAACTGTCTTTGTTATTTTGTGTTTGTATTAGGAACTGAAATTCCTTGTAATCATGCATACTATTAAGTAGGAATACTAGGTGAGGTATAAGAAACTATGATTACATCTCCTTCATCCTTGCTATCCCATGGGAAATGTGTCTGAGAAATTAATACTTAGGTCATTGTTGTTGTTAAGTGCCATTGAGTCGTAGGCTACTCATAGGACCCTATGAATGAAAGTCGTTGACAGTTGCTTGACTTTCATCCTTTCTCCGTGTTCGTAGGGTTTCCCGAGGCAAGCTATTTACAGAAGTGGATGCCATTCCTGCTTCCAAGCTTGTTTTAGCCTGGGAGCGCCACCAAACACTGTCGACCATGGATAACCATTATCGCATTTGGCATGTCAGTGTCACAGTGTTCAGCTTCACAGTGACCACAAGTTGCCTCTGTACAGCAGCAAGTGGACACTAGAGTTGTATAATTAGGACCCTTCCATATTTCTCCATTTGACTATTGCTCTACGTATAAAAACATTCACGTTGGCTCCCACCACAGAATTGTGTAGGTGAATTTCTTTGAGAATGCATGGATAAAACATTTCTCTCTGAAAGTAGGAGTGCTATAAGATTTGAATGGTTTGGGTATGGACTTTTTACCTTAGATGTAGATATTGGTTTATCCTTGGAAAGTGTAGAAGGCAGTACTTTTGTGTCTTTATGCTATATTCAGGAGAAAAATAAGGCTAAGTCATCAGAAATACTGGGCTTTTACCAACCTAAATTATACATACTGATCTGAAATCTTGAACCCCACATTGCCTCTTTAAAAGTCTACTTAACCTTCAAAATCCAGTTTAAATTTCAGCTATTTCACTAATGGAAATTCCTCACATTTTAATTTTTCTGACTCCAACTTCCTCCTAATAGCAAATTAAAAAATAAAATAAAACAAAAACCCTCTTCTAACTTATTTTTCCCCTCAACATTTTCTTCCCGTTGATTGTTGCTCATGTTAGAATACATCAAAAGTGAGCAGTTGAGTGTTTTATGTTAATATAGACTATTTCCCCATTAAATTTAAATATTTACTGACAAAAACTAAATATAAGAACTTAAACTTTAGCTCTTATTCATTTACTTACAACATAGCACCATACAAGAAGTAAACATGCTCTCCTCAATGGATTTATTCTCTTTTTATCATATGAGTGCCTGATTTTTATTCCAGATTTTTTTACATGTTGCCTACTTTTCATCCCCTATGCCCTGTATGAAACTCTGACTAATAAAAGGATTTACTCTATGATAAATAAGAAGAAAAGGATAAATTGTGTTGTATCATAAAAAAATCTCCTACAGTAATCATCTCCATATGATCCTCAGAAGATGATAGTTTAGTTCATAAAGTAGAACATTTTTTCGTGTTTTAGCAATTATGTAAACTATGTAACTATATCATCATATAATATCTTAGCAATTATGTATCAGTAGCACCTTTTCAATAATACAAATTAATGCCTTAAATAATGTCAGTGAACAAGCCTCATATTCTTAGTTATTCTTAAAGCAAAAGTGCTATAATAACTTAAGTCCTGGAAGCATATATCCTGATAAAGAAGCACACTTTTGAAGATAGCATTCTAATTTTTGAACTGGGTGTACAGATTTGGAAAGGAGATACTAAAAGAAAAGTCACTTGGTGACAATTTGATACTTACAAGGAAAGAGGAAGATGATACAGATGTAGGAATTGGTGGTGGTGGAAAATTTGGCTTCGTAAGTAGCTAATAAGAAGATAAATATTTTTAATGAAAGAGTACGACCTTGAATACAATGGTGTTTAATTTAAACAAAGTAAATCCTTTTCAGAAATAAATAACTAGTGTTCCTAGCTATGAACATAGTCTAAACTCAGTAGCTTGATTACATTCATTTAACTGCACACATACAACTCAGAAACAATTCCTGGGCATAGGATGGAGAGACTATGAAGCAGAATAGGTGCTCTCTGCCTGTCGTGAAGGAAGTTCTGGTGAAGTTGTGCTGTAATCCTCAAGATATATGATTTGAATTGACCAGCTGCTCTGTGGGAGAAGGATGGACAACGTTTTTCAGTGTGGTGTACTGTTTCTGAAAACCTGAAGGAGGATCAGCCATGGGGCAGTTTTGACACAACTGCTTGTTGTGAACTTCCTGGATGAACATTCAAGGGTAGTAGAATTGAGGAATATAAAAAAAGAAGTGCACATTCTCATACTTTATATTTTAAATATTATTAATGAAGATTCTGTGTATTATATTACTATTCACACAGTTTTCAATTAGTTACAGAAGACCTCACCTATCATGATTATTGCCTCGTGATTGAACTCAGGGGATATTTTCAGACACGTGTTTATACTCACAAAAGAAGCTGGAGGCTCAGTGTCTTCTATCGGTAGTTCAGACACAGGGGGCTTCATCTGATTCATCTAAAAAGAAATATTTTTAAGAGAAAATATATATTTCCTATGGATAACTTCCAAATAAGCAATGTGTTTAAGACTTGGTTCCTCCAAAACAGGATGAGACCAAGAGAGTAGACTGAGGATGATCACACCCCAGTTACTCTGCTCTGAGAAATATTTACCAAAAATGATTAAGAACAGCTAAATTTTTGTCAAAGACATCATTACTCAGTTAAAAGTCAGTTAACTGACTTTTATTAAAATCTCTAAGATTATGAAATATATTTTTTTTCTTTTCAAAGAGAAAAGTGAATTGGGGGAGAGGTGGGCAGGGAGGAAAATGTGCAACAATGAATGAATGGGGAAAAAATTAAATGGGAAGAATATGCTGTTAAAAAACCCTCTAAGCTTACAGGATACAACCAGGGAATTAAAGGTTAATGCATACATGTGTTGTCTCTATGGGAAAATGGCAAAAAGAAATAAGGAATCAATCTATAATCAGGGAGAGACATTGAGCATTTGCTTCCTCTTGTCCTCTTTTTTATTGTTTTGCAAATCCTCCAGGAACATTTGTCCACACTTAAGAGACACTTTGTTTTAGATTTAACAAAGGACAAAGGATTACATTCTGAACTATACACAATTACAGAACCAGTGGCGAATGCTAAGTATTAAATGCTAGAATACATTTGTAAAGTTTTGCAGTGCAGAAATACTAGATGATTAGGGTAGAGAAGGACAGAATCACAAATGTAGGCCCATGTCCAGTTGCATTATTGTGGGTGCAGACTGAACCACGTGAAATTACCAGAGGGAGGGGGCAACAAAATAACCATCTATAAAGTTCTGTGCTGTGGTTCAGCAGAAATGTATTATTTTTTAAATGAAAATAGCCTTGAAGTTACTATAGCAACAAAAACCATTTTTTCCATAATCCCCCTTTACATGTGCCAGTATAATTTTTGTTGATAGATATCGAGTCAAGCATGATTCATAGCAACCCTGTGAAAAAAGACCTGAAGTTTTTCTATAACTATCATCCTTTCTCTAAGTTCAGAGAAGACTAAAATTCTATGCTAATTTACTTTATGTACTTCCTACTGTGCTTAAGTCAGAACTATCATTACCAATTACAGTGCTTCAACACACCTTTTTCCCTTACATTCTACAAGCACAAATTGTTTTAGTTACTTATTTTTGTCAAATTTTCCTATGTTTTAGATATTGTTTTAAGTAGTATTTGTGAACCAATATCAATAACTTTTTTGAGAAGGAAGTAGCGATTAAAGGGAAAGAAGGGGGAAATTACATTTAGTTACTAAGAGTGTTTTAAAATTATTTTTGTTAGTATTCATACTCTCTAAGAATATTTTTAGTGTGTCAGAAATTGTGAGGATGGACAGTTATCAGATCGGTCATTATGAGTCATAGTTGACTGAACAGCATTTAACAACAACAGGAGATACTACATTAAGCAATTTACAACTATATTCATAGCTTTATCTTAAGATTGAAATTAATGATAACTATTGCTAAGGATTCTGTATGGTCTAGTATAGGAAGAAGTCTGTAGGGGAGGATGTATGTAACACCTTAAGTTTTCACACTAGGTAGGTCTAAGGCCTAGTGATGTCACTGCTCAAGACAAACAGTACAAACTATAGTTCACCTCCTGTGGTTGAACAGCTTTCGCCATCTGGGGTTTCCTCTTCTGTTTGTTGGGTTTTGTTTCAGAGCGGGACAATGGCCTGTGTGAAAAAATTTCATAAAAATTAATTCATCAGTTCCTCCAGCATGGTGTCACAACACATAAAATATGTCAACTTCCTTTGAACATTGTGTCATCTTCGGTTTATGGTTGGGCTTTTATCTTCTCCTTTGGGGACTATTACACTTTCAGTTCTCTATTAATTGCCTAATTGCACTTTTACATTATCATCTTTTCTTTTTCTTTTTATGTGTTCCTATACTTTTTGTACAATACTGTACTTTCTATATATTACTGTACTTTTAATTATCACCTTTTCTTTTTGTTCTTTACAAAACTCTGATTGTTTTTTTAATTTATTTTAATGAACATTTACAGAGATTTTGTATTTCCATTCATTAATTGTTGCATTTTTCTTCCTCCCCCACCTCACCCCCCTGTTTGATCTTCTCTTTGAAAAGTAAAAGAAATATTCCTCCATTGGTATACAATATCCCCCCCCATCCCTGCCCGAGTACACTCCACTATGAAACCTTCATTCTGGACTCTTGTGATAACCATAATACCCTATCATATATCGCTTTTAAACTGTTCTCTCCCTCATCTGTTTCAATACATAATTTATCCAGGTTTTTTTCAGTCTTATCCCAACCCTGATGTCAGTCCCTTTCTACAACAGTGGCACTATATAGTATGTGTCTTTCTTATGACTGAGAGATTTCACTCAGCATAATGTCCTCCAGGTAACCCATTTTGAATAATATTGCATAAACAATTCTGATTCTTAATAACAGTTGTGTGCACATCCAATTTTTATTAAATTATATAATGAATGCCTTTTTCTATATAATTTCTTCAAAAGTTTTAGATGAATTAGTCTCCAAAAATGGTTATAGAGATATTGTAAAAATATCTTTTGTCAGGATCATAATGATGTAAGATCATATGTCAAAATCATGTTCCTAAAATGATCTGACCTAGGTGAAAATCAAGCTTCCATCATGTACTTTGTAAAACTTTAAAGTAGTAGTTAGTTCTAATGAGTTTCTATTTTTGTATTTGAAACATGCAAAAAACTTTACCTCATAAGATTGCTTGCAAAGATGATATATATTTATATAAATGTAATACTTTACACTTAAAACATAAATCCTTTTTAATCTGCCAGAATATAAGTGAACCTATACTTGGATCAGGAGGCAGTCATCAGAACCAAGCAAGGAAACACTGCATCATTCAAAATTGGGAAGAGCGTATTCCAGGGATGTGTTCTAGCTCCATAATTTTTCAATCTATATGCAGAACAGATTATCTGCAAGGCTGGGCTCTATGAGGAGAAATGTAGCATCAGAATTGGAGAAAGTCTCCACAACACTCTGCATTACGCAGACGACACAACCCTGTTGCCTGAAACTGAGGAGGACCTGAAGCGTTTGCTGCTGAAAGTCAAAGTTTGCAGCCTTCAGTATGGACTGAAGCTCAACAGCAAGAAAACAATGGGCCTACTGGCAGTATCACAATAGACAATGAAGAGACTGAGATTATTAACACCTTCATTTTGCTTGCCTCCACAATTAACACTATTGATATCAACAGCCAGGAAATAACAAGATGAATTGGATTGGATTGGATTGGATTGGGAAAGTCTGCTGTCAGAGACCTCTCCAAAGTACTAAGAGCAATGATTTCAGTCTGGAGACTAAGGTGCACCTGATTCAGGCCATTGTCTTTGTAATTACTTGGTATGTGTCAGAAAGCCAGACAATGACTAAGGATGCTAGAAGAAGAATTGATACCTTTGAGCTGTGGTGCTAGAGAAGATTATTGAATATATCATGGACTGCTTTTGAAGCAGGAGTGACATCCACTTCCTAAACAACATGCCTCTGGAAACTCTAAGAACTTTGCTAAATGTCGATAGTTGTAGAGGGCCTTCAGGCCTTTTGTTCATAGGGTCGCTATGAATTGTGCTTGACTCGAAGGCAATCAACAACTACAAACATCATGGTTTACTAGTAGAAAGAACGGGTTCATCCTAGAGAGTGTGAGATCAGGATACTACTTGGAAGCAAGAATACTGAAGCTTCATTTGACATACTTTGGACATGTTGCAAGGAGGGATGAGTCCTTGGAGAGGGACGTCATGCTTAGAAGGGTGGAGGGACAGTGCAAGAGAAAAAGACCCTCGATGAGGTTCAGTGACTGGGGTTATGAGGGTAGGCGTGTCAGAGATAATAAGATTGGCACAGGAAAGAGCACAGTATAGGGCTATTGTACATAGGGTCACTATGAGTCGCAAGTGACTCGGCGGCACATAACAACAGCTACCACCTTGTGATGATTAAATGAGGTAGTGGATATAAATGGGATTAGTACAGCAATTTTTCTATATCTCAGAATAATTCAACTCACTGCTATTGAGTTGGAACCAAGTCATAGCTGGCCCTCCAGTGGATTTTTCATATGGGAGGTTGTCATTCACCTTTCTTCCATGAGGAGCTGATAGATTCCAACATGCCTTTAGTTGACAGGGCAACTTCTTACCCATCAGACTGCCACAGCTCCCTATCCTATATATTATTGTTGTTGTTGTGAGGTACTATTGAAACAAATACAACTCATAGCAACCCTATGAACAATAGACCAGAACCTTGTCCTATTCTGTGCCATCCTCACAATCTCTGACACACTTGAATCCATTACGGCAGTCACGGTGTCAATCCATATCATTGGGCTAAATACCTTTTTGTTGACCCTCCATCTTTCTTAGCACAATATTCCTTTTAAGCATCATAGTTCTTTCTAAGCATAAGATCCCTTCCCAAGGAATAGCTTCTTCCAACAACATGGCCATAAAAGAAAGATGAAGTTTCACCATCTTTGCCTACAAGGAGCACTTTGGCTGCACTTTTATCTCTTGTTCTTTTGGCAGTCCATGGGATATTCAATCCACGTCTTCAGCACCACAATTTAAAGACACCAATTCTGTCATTCTCATTCATTTTCCAACTCTCAGATCCATGACAAGTTTTTATAAAGGCCATGGCCTGAATCAGGTGCACCTTGATCATTAATCTGATACTAATGCTGTTCAATATTTTAGAGAAGTCCTTGACAGCAGACTTGTCCAGTGCAATATGTCTCCTGATCTCCTGATTCTTGGCACCAAGAGTGTTCATTGTAGATTCAAATAAGATGAATTATTGACAGTTTCAATCCTTTCTCCATTTATCATGATACTGCCTATTGGCCCAGTTATGAAGACCTTTGTTTTCTTTATGTTAAGATGTAATCCATATTGAAGGCTGTAGTCCTTGATCTTGTGTAACAAGTGTTTTAAGTCGTCCTCATTTTCAGCAAGCAAGGTTTTATAATCTTCATAACATAGATTATTGATGGAGTCATCCTCCAATCTTGATGCTGCATTCCTTTTCATGGAACCCAGCTTCATGAATTATTTGCTTACCATACAGATTAAATAGGTATTAAGAAAGGATACAATCTTGATGCATACTCTTTCTGGTTTTAAATCATGCAGTGTTCCCTTGTTCCATTCAGACAACAGCTTCTTGGTTTAGGTGTAGATTTCGTATGAACACAATTAAGTGTTCTTGGATTCCCATTCTTCTCAAAGTTAGCCACAGTTTGCTATGATCTACCCTAACACCTTTGCGTAGTCAATAAAACACAGACAGATATATTTCTGGTATTGTTTTCAGTCAGGATCTATCTAATATCAGCAACGATATCCCTGAGATCAAAGTCCTTTCTAAACTCCACTTGAACTTCTGGAAATATACTGCTTCAGCCATTTTTTAATTATTTTTGGCAATATTTTGCTTTCATGTGATATTTATAATATTATTTGAAAATTTCCATTCTGTTAGACCACCTTTGTTGGGAATGAGGCAAATATGAACCTCTTAAGTTAGTTGACCAGGCAGTTATCCTCCAAATTTCATCTTTATAGTTTACTGTGAGAGGTACAACACTTATCTATCAGTTCATTATGTTGTTGTTGTTGTTAAGTGCCGTCGTGTTGCAGACTACTCATAGCCACTCTATGAAGGAGAGTCTTGACACTTGGGTGCCTTTCATCCTCTCTCCAGGTTCATAGGGTTTCCAGAGGCAAGCTATTATGGAAGTGGATACCACTCCTCCTTGCAAGCTTGTTTTATTCAGGGAGCTCCACTCTATTCTCGGTCTGCATTGGGTAGCCAACCATTGATGCATTTGACACATCAGTGTCACAGTCAGTTCATTATATTGAGGATTAATTTGCATGTTGCTAATAGGGACATCTGTTGCTCTAGTCGTACAAAGCTCCACTGCAATCCTGAAGGCACATTGTATGAATCCATCAGTTGCTCTGTGGGTAGAGAGGGGTAATCTCCTCATATGTGATTAACTGCATCTGAAAATCCACTGGAGGGTCAGTTATGGGTAGGTTCCACTCAATGGTACACAACAACAATTACTTTATGTGTAGGTGTGTGTGTTGTTGTTGTTGTTGTGTGCCATTGAGTCAGAATTGACTCATAGATGATCCTCCAGAGGGTTTTCAGAGGCAGCAAATCCCAAAAGAAGAGATTAACCATTCTTCTCCCACAGAGCATCTTGTGGATTAAAACTGCATGACTTTGGGACTGCAGCACAGCTTCTTACCAGTAGGCTCAATGTTTTATTGTTTGCTTTTATTAGTATAACACTTGTCTATCAGAAAGCAGTATTGGATTAACTTGTAGGTTGCTGTGATGTTGGAAGCCGAGCTGCGGGGGCTTCAAGGCCAGAAGGCTCACCCATGGTGGACAAGCTCCGATAAGCTTCACAGCCATGGTGGGCAAGATCCTAGCTAGAGAGGCAGTAGAGTTCCGAGATTCAGACAGTCTAGGAAGCAGGATTGGCTATCCACTTCCAAAATAACAGGCCTTCAAAAACTATATGAACAACAAAGAAATGTGGGTAGCTATAGTATTAGAGGTAGAATCCAAATGGGAATGAGCAGAAACACATACATATAACCATTAATAACTGGAATGTAGAATGTGTGAAGGATGAATGTAGGAAAACTGGATGTTGTAAAAAAAATGGTCTATATATAGTGATGAATGAATAGTAAATTCTGTATTATTTTAATAATGTAAGTACTTTCAATACTGGCTCATGCTTATTGTTGTCAGTTATAAAAATAGTGACTAAGGAAGAGAAAATGACACATATCTTGCTGTTGGATTTTCTAGTAAAAGGATTAGTCAGCCCCCAGTATGTTTCTAAGTATTTGAAAAGTGCCAAAATTAAATTTCAGTAATCGAATCACATCGATAAAGTTATAGTCTTTGAAGAATTATAAAGAACTTACCTCTGAACTTTCTTCTGCTTCCTTCTAGTTTGGTGTCGAATTACAATAGCAACCACCACAAATATAACTGCCACTGGGAACAACACCCCAACCACAATGGAGAAGTCTGCAGCAAAGATGACAGAGACCCAATTAGGGTGAGACACTCACATGTTACACACTAACCATGATTTCTTCATTTAATACAATACCATCTTTCCCCATTTGGATTCCATACTTCCCCAAGTAAGTGTGTATCCTCTGGAATATCTCTCATAATCAACAAGGAAAATGTATTTCATTGTGTTTATTGCAACAACATTGGGGTAAAGAAAAATCGTAGGACAATTTTAATACTATATGCAGAAAACATATTTCCAACACTTCTCAGAAGAAATGATGCTATTAATAATTGGAAAAATCTAATCTTTGGGCATGCAAAGAATATATGTAGGAATGAAACATAAAGCAGTGGGAATGAAACACTTTTAAAATGCAGTCTTGAAGAAACAGAAAAAGAAACTGAAGACTTGAAATGATATTTCTGTAAGTAGAAGAAACTAAGTTGTAATTCAGATGATAGATATGCTTACCTAGGAGTCGTAGGGTTTGTTCAATATTTTAAGACAAAAAAAATCCATATATTTGTGCATATTAAATAACTTGATTGATGTAAATTACAAATCGAAGAAAAAGTGTATTGTTTAGGGAAACAAACCTATGAAAAAGCAACAGCTCCTTCCCTAAACTTCATCACATTATCTTTTGCTATTGTTATGATTTTGACTCATAAAACCCCATGTCATACAGTAGAATTGTCTCATAGAACTTTCTAGGCTATAATCTCTTCTGGAGTACCTATCTAGTTCTTTCACCTTTCTAGTTACTGGGTTTATTTGAACTGCCAACCTTTGAGTTAGCATCCAAATACTTAACTGTTGTCCCACCAGGAATTTCAACAAGGTTGAGCAATAGTGAGAACAAAATCTTTGTTTTGTTTTTGGTCTTTCTGTTACTTATTTCTAATTTCCTCTAAAATTTATTTCCACTAAAATTTATTCTTTCAGATCTTTTAGTTCATTGAGATTTGCTTTATGGCCTCATTTAATTGTCATGGAGTTGAAACAAATGCAAAGCTGACCCTCGAATTGATTTTCAGAGATTGTGAACCACATGGGCATGGACTTCTTTCTTTAGGAAGCTGCTAATAAATTAAAATCACCAAAAAGGCACTGCCTTTGGGTTAACATCACATGACCTAGTATGAATGCTTTTAGGGAACAGTTAAAAAAAGGAACTAACCATATTAGAAGTATCTCTAATGGTGCAGAGATTAAACACTGGGCTGATAACTGAAAGTTTGGTGGTTTCACTTAACATATGCTCCACAGGAGAAAGTCTTAATGATTTTTAGCCTTAGCATCAGATGGGAAATACAGTAAATGGCTCTCTCATCCATGTAAATTTCTCTTCACTTTGGTGATTGGAGGTGAGTGTTCCCACTCTGACTGTTTCTCATCCTAACTGCTTTCGCACTCTGCATACCTACTAATACAGAGCTCACAGCCAGATTTTCCAATCAGGAAAATAATTTGTTTACAGAATGAGCATTAGAAGCATATGAAGAAAATGCATAGAAGTAATTCAAGTCTACCTAATTGCTTATTTGCCTATGGATCCTGGCATTAAGAAAAAATAAAAAATAAAACCAGGCTAAATAACCAGAGACTCAAACAAAGAAGAAATGGAGATAATTTAAAGAAAAATTAATTAGATTAAAAAGCAAGTCTAACTTGATTCTTAGAGAGTTTTTAAAAAAATATATTATTGAGTAAATTAATGGTAAGAAGCCGTACTGCAGTCCAAAGACAAGTGGTTGGAATATGGTAGCTGCTTCCCAGGAGAAGGATGGACAGTCTCCTCCCTTGAGATTCACTAAATCTGAAAACCTGCTTGAGGGTCAGCTATGGGTTTGTTCTGACTTGACAGCACACAGCAACAACTATGCTAAAGGGGGGAAATCACAGTGGTAATTAAAATGTGGTAATTAACATAAAATAAATATAAAATTGAAGGAAATATTTTTGTATGTAGAGTAGAAAACCTTAGATATAGGAAATAGTACTAAAAAATCTTGTAGAGACTTCAAGGAATACTATCATGACTTTTAGGGAGCTGTGGTGATACGTTCTTGTTATGTGCTGTTGAATCAGAATCGACTCATAGCTGGCCATCCAGTGGTTTTTAAAGGCAGTAAATTGTACAGGAGGAAATTGTCCATCCTTTCCATGAGAAGTGGCTGGAAGACTTGAACTGTGTGCCTTTGGAATTGTAGACAGCTTTCTACCACTAGGAATTGCACTGTTAATCCAATGGCAGCACCTCTTTGACAATTTAAATCCAGCTCTTTACGAGAATATTGGGCAACTGATGTGCTGGCAATGAGAAAATTTTTTATTTCAATATTGACATAATAAGGGTCTCAGGGAGAGAGAAATAGACAATGCAATCTTAGGAAAGTACAAAAGAGAAGATAAATTTTTTTAGGCTTGATATATACTGTTACCTACGGAAGACCATTGTGGAGTCATCGCAATCCGGCGGTGCCCACCCTTCTTTACATTGACACTGCAGCTCATGGTCACACACCTACAAGAGCAGTGACCCAGTTAGTTTCTCTGCCAGACTTACACAAGCCCAAAGACTTATTTGTACATACACATATAAAAATAACCACACCTCTTCCATCTCATTTTATCTTTTCATGAGATACATAAGCTAATTAATAGGAATTTCAGTAATAAATTTTAGGAAAACTGTCATTGAACCACAATACTGAGGGTTAATAAATTTAATATTAATCATTTAATACTGAAAAAAAATATTTACCTCATCACAATTTACTTAAAATTACTGAAGACTCAGAAAATTTAGAGACTCATATTCTAAAAACTTACAGCATGTCCTTTGCATTTAGATGAACAATTGGTAGATTTGTAGGCTCTCTCAATATCCACACATTCTGCATTAATACAAACCTGAAAGGAATGTGAAAAACCAGAAAGTTGACATTAATGTGCAATTTTTCAGTTCTGCGAATTGTTGACTTTTAGGAATTAATCCTTATGTCTTGTTGTTTCTATGTGTCATTGAGTTGCCTTTGACTCATAGTGACCCTTTGTACAATAGCTCAGAACCTGTCCTCTCCTGAGCCAGTCTCACTGACTCTGACAGACCTACCCCACCACCCCAGTTACTATGTCAATCCATTTCATCCAGGGTATTCTTCTTCAGTGCTTTCCCTCCACCCTTCCAAGCATGATATCCTTCTCCAAGGATTGGTTCCTCTTGGCTATGGGCCCATAGTATGTGAAATGGAGTTTCAAAATCCATTCCTCTAAGGATAAACTTGGTTTCACCTTCCCCAGGTTCAAACTGTTAATTCTCTTGACAGCACATAGTATGTTCAATACTCTTCTCCAGGCCCACAACTCAAAGGCATCAATTCTTCTTCTGTCATCCTTAGTCATTGTCCAGTTCTCTGATACATAGCAAGTAATTGTGAAGACCACGACCTGAATAAAGCACAGCTTAGTCCCTAGACTGACTTCATTATACTTTAGCACATTGGAGAGGTCCCTGACAGCAGATTTCCCTAATGCAATTCATGTTTTTATTTTCTGATTGCTTATGCCAAGAGTTTTGATTGGATTGTGGAGCTGAGTAAACTGAGATTGTTAAAAACCTTAATCTCTTCTCCATCTATCATAGTACTGCCAATTGGCTCAGTGCTGAGAATCTTTGTATTCTTGATGTTTAACTTCAATCCATAATGAAGACTACATACAGTCCTTGACCTTCTGCAGCAAATGGTTCAGGACCTCCTCATTTTAGGCAAGGTTGTGTTATTCTGCACAATGTAGGTTGTTGATAAATCTTAAAGCCAAGCCTTCTGAGTGATCTGTTCCACATACAGATTGAAAAGGTGTGGAGACAGGATGCATCCCTGACACACTACTTTGCTGATTTTTAACCATACAGTGTTTGTTTACTCTGTTCTGAGGACTACTTCCTGGTACAAGTTTAAGTTTTACATTAGCACAGTCAAGTATTCTGGGATTCCAATTCTTTTCAAGGTTAACCAAAATTTGTTGTGATCCACACAGTCAAATGGCCTTGTATAGTCAATGAAACACAGACATTCCTTTGGTACTCTTTGCTTTTGATCAAGATGCATATGACATTGGTGATAATGTTTCTAGTGCCTCAGCCTCTTCTTAACTCAGCTTGTAGTTCTGGTGGCTCTGTGTTAATACACTGTTCCGGTTGTTTTTGGATAACCTTCAGTAAGATTTTCTTACGTGTGATATTAGTGATATTGTTTGTTAGTTTCCACTCTCTGTTGGGTCATCTTCTTGTGGAATGGGAGTAGATATGCATCTCTTCCAGTCCATTGGCCAGGTAGTCATCCTTCAGATTTCTTGGCACAATTTGGAAAGCATGTCCAGGGCAATTGCCTCACATATTAGTAGTTACTAATATTATAATGGAATAAGTAATGAAGTAAAGAAGTGAACTGAAGATTTCAAAGAACAGATCAAAAAAGACAAATATGACATTTTTCATGTTTGAATTTTTCATTTTTTTATTGTATGAAATTTGCAAAGATTTGGGCTTCAAAAAGCAAAAAGAAGTAACACAACCCACATGTCTTAAGCTAAAAGAAAAGATGAAAATAAATAAAGTCTTGAATTGGAATATTGAAGGATTTTGATGAGGGGAAAAATCAAATTCCATGATGGAGGAAGCATTAAAAGAAGATGAAAGGAATATAGCACCACTACACCAAAAAAGGATTGTTTAACACTCAATCATTTAAAGATGTAACACATGTTTAAAAACTAATGATGCTTAAGGAAGAAACCCAAACTGTGTTGAAAGCATTAGCTTAAGCCAAACAAAGAAAAATAAGGCTACAGAATTGTCAGAACATTGGTTGTGACAGAACACCATGACTTTGCTCTGGGACAAAGAAATTGAAGACACAGTCAACTAACCAGAAAAGATCTATATTTGTAATAACCATTCCAAAGAAAAATTTTTCCAGAGAACATAGAAAATATTGAACAATATCATTAACATAGCAAGGAAGTAAGCTTCTGTTGAAGAGAATTTGAAAATTATTGGCACAATATATTGATATGGAACTGCCAGAAATTCAAGTTGGATTTGGAAAAGAACATAGTGATATCAGGTAGATTTTGGCTGCAAAAACACAAAAAGATGTTTACTAGACACTTATTGACTATGCAAAGATAATGGGCTATGTATATCATGAACAATTACAGATGACATTGTGATGAATGGAAACTCCAGAACGGTGCATTTTGCTTAGCAGAACTGTGCAAAAGAGCTGTCATTTAAATAGAATAAGGTGATACTGTGTAGCTCAAACTCAGGAAAGATATGTGTTATAATTGTGTTCTATCAACAAATTTATTCCATCTGTGTGTTGAATATATAATCAGAGAAGCTGGACTACGTGGCATAAAAATGAAAGAAATACTCATTAACAATCTGCCATGTGCAGCCTTGTCTTCTGAAAAATGAAGAGAAATTAAAGTTCTTACTGATAAAATCAAAGATTAAAGCTTTCATATGTATTAAATCATAACACAAAGAAAACAAAAATTGTCACAACTAGACCAATAAGCAACATTGCAAATGGAGAAACAATTGAAGGTGTCAGGGATTATATTTTACTTGTATCCACAATCAACACACAGGAAAGTAGAAGTCAAGAAATCACACAACATATAACAAAATACAAATGTCTTTAAAATTCTAAAGTTCAAAGGGGATATCTTAAAGACTTAATATGTGCCTGATTTGATCTATAGTATTTTCAATTGCTTCCTATGTATGTGAAAGTTGGACAATAAACAAGAAAGCCTAAAAAAAAATGATGCTTTTGAATTGCAGTTTTGTCAAAGAATACTGACTATCCCATTGACTTCCAAAAGAACAAATATATCTGTCTTGAAAGAAGTACAGCCAGAGTACTCCTTAGAAGCAAGGATGATGAAACTTCATTTCACTTACTTTGGAAATGGAAGTGGTAGTTTCTGGAAAAGACGATCAGGATTGGAGAAGTAGATGTTCAGTGAAATAGATGAATGACCTTAATGAGAGGTATTGACACAGTGACTTGAAAAATGATCAGAGGTTTTCATTCTATTGTGCACAGTATCACTATGAGTTGGAGCCAACAAAATGTCACCTGACAACAATGACAACAACATGAGAGATAGTCTTTCTTATTATCAAAGTTAATGTGCTGATCCTGGGTAAGTAGCTTCTGCACCTGAGATGGTGAAAATGTTTCACTGTCACTGACTCAGAGGGCTGTGAAGTCCCACTCCAGGTACTTGTGGACCTCATATTCTACAGTGAGGAGAGTGCCTGGAGGCTACACTGCCAATGACCCAGACTTGGAGGATATACATGCTCCTTATGCCTTGAACTTGAGCATCACAATGTCACAGAAGAAGCAGACACATTTAAACACCACACACACACACACACACACACACACACAAACCAAAAAAATCCAAAGTGAGCTGTCACCAAAACATGATCAAAACATAGGGTCAGTGAATCTCCTGAAGAAGGAATGGTTGATAGAACTCTCTGCTAGGGAATTCAAAGGAACAAGGATCAAGTATTTTTTCTAGATTAAAGAAAATACGGAGTATACAAACAAAACTTAATAGGAACTTAAACACACACACACACACACACACACACACAAGACAAATCAGATAAAACCAATGAAGCACTAGAAAGAATAGACAAATAAAAACTAGGAACTTAAAAATAATAAGACAAAAATTTCAGAACCCATCAACATGTTTGAGGGATAGATGAACAGAATTGCAGGGATGGAACACAGAATCAGTGAAACAGAAGACAGAGTGTTCATTCCTCATCTGCTAGACAATGAAAAGCAAAAACAAACAAGAAAGAAAATGAAGAAAGCCTAAGAATAATGTAGGACAATATCAAGAGAAATAACATACTTGTAATTGGATTTCCAGAACAGGAAGAAGAAAAAAAAAGGCACTGAAAATATCACGAAAGAGTCACTAGTAGAAAATTTTTTTTATGTTTCAGAAAAAAAAATAAGAGAATATAAAACCAAGATGATGAGCGAACTCCAAATAGAACAGACCTTGACAGAGAAGCACAAAGATTCAATGCAACCAAATTCATCAGAATCAAAGACAAGGAAAGAATTATGAAAACAACTAGAGAAAAAAATGAGTACTAATATATAAAGAAAAATAAATAAGATTAAGCTTCAATTTGTCAACATAAGCCATATGAGCAAAAAGACAGTAGAAAAGTATGCACCAAATACCAAAGAACACAATTTCCAATCAAAAAGACTATATCCAGCTACGCTGTGTATCAAATATGACAGAGAGATCAGGACATTCCCAGAAAAGCAGAAAATAAGGAACAAAGGAACACTATATGTTTTAAAATCAGGAAGGATGTGCATTAGGGGTGTATCCTTTCTACATATGCATTCAATATGTATGTTGAGCAAATAAGCCATGAAGTGGAACTTGGAAGAAGAATGTGGTATCAGGATTGGAGGAAGACTCATCAATAAACCATGCTATGTAGATGGCACAACTTTGCTGAAAGCGAGGGAGGCCTGAAACACTCATTGCAAGAGAAAAATGTTACAGCCTTCAATACAAATTGCATCTTAATGTCAAGAAGCCAAAGGTCCTTACCACTAAATGAGTGGGCAACATCATAATAGATGGAGAAAGTATTGAAACTATTAATGATTTAATATTTCTTGGATTTACAATCAACACCCTTAGTACTAGCAGTAAGAAGTTAAGGAGACAAATTGATTTGGGCAAGTCTGTTTCAGGGATTTCTTCCAAATGCTAAAGAACAATGCTGTTAGTCTGAAGGCTAAGGTGTACTTGATTCAGGCCATGGTCTTTTCCATCTCTTGCTGTGCATCTGAAAGCTAGTCAATGAATAAGGATAACAGAAAAATTGACGCTTTTGAGTTGTGGTATTGGAGAAGAGTAATGAATAGCCCATGGACTATCAAAAGAACAAACAGATATGCTTTGGAAAAGGTGCCTCTGGAATGCTTCTTGGAGGCAAGGATGGCAAAGCTTTGTTTCTCATACTTTGGACATGTTGTTAGGAGAGACTATTCCTTAGAAAAGGCTATCATACATGTCTACGAGAGACACACTTAAGAAACAAAGATAAATACAGACTAAATATAAAAAAGTGGAAAAAATACAGCAAGAAAATGGCAACTAAAAAAAGAGCAGAAATAATAATAAATATTTGTCCATTTCCTCTAGATTTTCATAATTTTTAGAGTATAGCTTTTAATAAAATTCCACTTAATTGATTCTATTTAATGCCAACCATTTTATTTCGTATTCATATTTCTTGTAATTTTTTTTTTGTTTGCCAGTGGATTGTTGATCTTATTTTTTTCAAAGAACCAACACCTAGTTTTATTGACAGTTTCAATTGTTTCATAAACTTTGAGCAAGTTGCTAAAAGGTACTATTCCTTCGAGGAGACATCATGTTTGAAAAGGTCTGAAAAAGAGAGGAAGACCCTTAATGAGACGTATGGACCCAATAACTGCAGCAGTAGTTTCAAGTGTAGCAGAGATAATGAGAATTATATGGGATAGGGCAGGGTTCAGATCTGCTGTTCATAAGATAACTGTGTGTTATATCTGATGGTACCTAATAATAGCAACTACAAGGAAAACATGATCTAGCAATTGCGAAAACCTAGAGAAAATGAATAAACATTTAGAAACACAAAACCTGCCCAAATTGACGTAGACTGATGTGAAACACCTGAAAACAACCATTACAAAAGAAGAAATTGAACAAAAAACAAAAACGAAATATCTTCCAAATAGGGGAAAAGAATTCTTGGACCAGATGACTTAATCAGGCAAAATTATCAAACATTCAAAGGAGAGCTATCACCAATTCTACATAAATTACTTAAGAAAATTGTAGAAGATGGAATATTTCTAGACTCATTCTATAAAGCAAACATAACTGATATTAAAGTCAGTTAAAACACCACAAAATAGAAAATTTTAGACCAATATCTCTCATAAATATGAAAGAAAAAATCCTTAACAAAATCCAACAACATCGTGACTAAGTGGCATTCATAACATGCATGTAATGATGGTTCAACGTAAAAAAAATATATATCCACATCAACAAAAAAATACTTTAAAAAAACACATAATCATCTCAATTGATGTAGAAAAGGTTTTTGACAAAATTCAACACTCTATCTTAATAAGTACACTCAATAGAATTGAGGGGAATTTTCTCAGCATAATTAATAGCCAAAAGCAAACATCATCCTTAATAGAAAAAGAAACATTCTTCTTGAGAACAGGGTCCAGGCAAGTATGCCCATCATTATCATTCCTATTCAATATTGTATTGGAAGTCCTAGCAAGGATAATAAAAGAAAAGAAGGAAAGATGTGGCATCCAAATTGGCAAAGAGAAGGTAAAAATATATGTAAGTGATATGATAGTATACTTGAAAAATCCTAAAGAATCTGCAAGTAAACTGTTGGACATAGTAAGCCAATTCAGCAAAGTAGCTGGATACAAAGTCAATATATGAAACTCAGTTGGACTTCTCTACAGTAGTAAAGAGAGCATGTTGTTTGTTGTTGTTGTTATGTGCCGTCGAGTCGCCTGCGACTCATAGCGACTCTATGTACAACAGCCCTAAACCCTGCTCTGTCCTGTGCCAATCGCACTGTCTCTGACACTCCCATCCCAATTATCCCAGTCACTGAATCAATCCACCTCATAGAGGGCCTTCCTCTCCTGCGCCGTCCCTCCACCCTCCCAAGCATGATGTCCCTCTCTAAGGACCGGTCTCTCGTCACAACATGTCCAAAGTAAGTTAGACGGAGCCTCAGAATCCTTGCCTCCAAGGAGCCACCCAGTTTAACCTTTTCCAGGACAAATCTATTTGTTTTCCTAGCAGTCCATGGTATTCTCAGTACTCTTCTCCAGCACCACAGCTCAAAGGCATCAGTTCTCCTTCTATCCTCCTTGGTCATTGTCCAACTCTCTGATGCATAACAGGTGATTGCGAAGACCATGGCCTGTATCAGACGCACCTTAGTCTCCAGAGAGACACCACTGCTCTTCAGCACTTTGGCTTATAGAAAAGGAAATAAGAAAAACAATACCAATTACTCATTAACAACCTACAATATTCAGGTGACACAACTTGCTTGCTGAAACTGAAGAAGACCTGAAGCTCTTGCTTCAGAAGGTCAAGGACTGAAGTCTGCACTATAGATTGAAACTCAACATGAAGAAGACAAAGATTCTCACCACTGGGCCTACTGGCTTCACCATATTAGATGGAGAAGAGATTGAGGTTGTTAGCAATTATAACTTGCTTGGATCCACGATCAACACTCTTGACACCAGCAGTCAGGAAATCAAAACACAAATTGCATTGGGAAAATTTCTTGTCATGGACCTCTCCAGAGTACTGCAAAGCAATGAGACTAAGGTGCACCTAATCCAGGCCAACGTCTTCTCAATTACTTGTTTGGCTTCAGAGAGTTGGACAATGACTAAGGATGACAGAAGAAGAATAGATGTCTTCAAGTTGTGGTGCTGGAGAAGAGTCTTGAACATATCCCGGACAGCCAAGAAAACAAATTGATCTGTCTTGGAGAGGGTGAAACCAAGTTACATCCTTGAAGGCTAGGTCTTTGAAGCTCCGTTTCACATACTTTGGGCATGTGGTCAGGAGAGATTGGTACTTGGAGAAGGACATCATGCTTGGAAGGGTGAACGGACAGTGCAGGAAAGGGAGACCCCAGATGAGATGGATTGACACAGTAACTGGGTCGATGGAGGTTTGTGTGTCAGAGTTAGTGAGACTGGCTCAGGACAGGGAAGGGTTCAGAGCTGCTATACTTAGGGTCATTAGGCATCACAGGTGACTCTATCAGTAACATTCTATGACAGGTTTGGAAGCAGGAGTGGCATCCCCTTCCTAAACAACATGCCTCTGGAAACTCTGAACTTTGGTCGATGATTGTAGATGGGCTCCAGGCCTTTTTTTCATAAGGTTGCTATAGTTGTGCTATATTCAAAGGCAATCAACATCAACAACAACTACAAGATTAAATACTTAAGAACAAATCTAACTAGGAACACAAACAACCTATGCAAAGAAAATTACAAAACATTACCACAAGGGAAAAAAAAAAGATACCTAGAGAAATGGAATATACCATGCTCATGTATAGTAAGGCTCTATATTGTGAAAATGACAATTTTACCAAAGCAACCTACAAGTTCAGTGTAATCCCAATACAGACACTGATACCATTCTTCAAAGAGATGGAAAAGGCAATTTCCATTTCCATCCAGAAAGTAAAGAGACACTAAATAAGCAAAGCAATACTAAAAAAAGAAAAACAAGGTTATCAGGATCACACTCCTTTATTTCAAAGCCTACTATGCAAACATAGTGATAAAGATAGTATAATATGGTACAGTGACTGATACCTACATCAGTGGAATAGAACCAAGAACCCAGAAATTAACCCTTTTCCCTATGGGAAATTGATTGTTCACAAGGAATGAAATCAATTAAATAGAAAAACGACAGCCTCTTTAGTAAATGGTGCTAGCAGAATTGGACATTCATCCGCAAAAAAGCTGAGGCAAGATACCCACTTCGTATCATATACCCAATTCAAGGAGAATCAGGGATCTAGGAATAAAATTAAAGACTATAAGTTCAGCAGAGAAAAATTATAAACAACTCTAGAAGCCCTAATCTATAATATCAATGTACTTCCAAGCATAATGAAAAACCTACAACAAGTAGAGGATAGACTAAATGAATGAGACCTTCTAAAATTAAAATCCTATGCACCTTAAAAACTTTTCTAACAGGATAAAAAGGAAGCCCTCAGACTGGAAGGAAATATTTGGCAATGGCATATCTGATAAGGGATTTATCTCAACAAGAGAAAGGCAAATAATCCAACTACAAAATTAGCAAAAAATATTAATAGACCTTTATCAAAGAAGAAAGTCAAAGGGCCAACAAACATGAAAAAAATGTTCAAAATCCCTAGTTACTAGAAAGATGCAAAATAAAATAACAATGAGATATCACCTTACCCATCAATAATAGTAAAGTTCAACAGGATAACAACAACAAATGCTGGCAAGGATGTGGAGCAATCAGAACTCTCATACCCTGTTAGTGGGAATGAAACTTAGAACCATTATTCAAGGCAGTCTGGGGCTTTTTCAAAAAGTTAGAAATAGAAACACCATTTGACTCAGCTGTTCCATTATTGGAAATATACCCTAAAGAAACCAGAGCCATAACACAAACAGATAAATGCACACTCATGTTTATTGCAATATTATTCACAATGGTGAATAGATAGAAACAGTACAAATGTCCATTAACAAACTAATGGATAGAAAAACTCTGGCATACTCACAGAACAGAATATTTTGCATCACTGAAAAGCAGTAAACTTGTAAAACACTGCACAACTTGAAAGTGTCTGGAAGACATTATACTGAGCAAAATATCTCAGTTACAAAAGGTCAAACACTACATAAGATCACAACAATAAGATGAACTCAGAAACGGGAGAAGAGGAAAAGAGAGGACAATGAAGACTACACTGGAATGGGCGAGGAGAAGGACTCTCTGAAAGGAATGGATGATTAGAAATGATATGTCTGATGATTAACAATCTAAAATAAGATGTACATCTTGAGGACACATTGATATCTCTAACATGTGTATTAATGAATGAAAATCCAATCTTTCTGTAAACTTTCACTAAAATCACAATTAAAAAAAAACAAACGTTTAGAGCAAAAACTACAGTTTAAACTTACCTTCTTATTTCCACATTTCGTTCCATTGGCCACCATGCCTATTTCTTGAGTGGTATCTTCCGGAATAAATGTTTTACATTTCAGGAAAGTTACTATACCTCCTTTCCATGGCAAATTATCTGATCCACCTTGACAGAACAACTTCCCACACATGGAATCACTGAAGAAAAATTTGAAGTGTGTTTTTTTTAAATATTTAAATTCCAAGATTTAAGATAAAGGTTTACATAAATACAAACAAGCTCAATGATTATCAGTAGTTTTAGTAAGTGGCATGTCTCTCAACTGTCTTTTAAGCCCAATTTCCTTTTTCCTTTTCAGCAAAAGAATCTCTATATCAGCGCTCAGGGTTGCTCAAGGTATACAAACTTTGTGAGTAAACCAGTATAAAAAAGATATTTAAGAAATTCCCGCATTTCCAAAATTTCAGTACATCTAATTCTGAACAATTGCCTGATTTCTGGTCTATGAGAAGGAAGCCTGCTAAGTGTAACATCCTTAATGTGTACTTTTTATACTTAATGTGTAACTTTATACTTTTTTTATTGGAATGTAATAGCTAGAGCTAAGAAGCTATTATAGACCAAGAATGAATGGGAGTCATCTTTCCTATGAGCTGGAAGATACAAGAAGATATAAAGAAGATCGATTCATAACAGCTGAAGTCATTTCAGAAATAATTTTTTTATCTTGTTTCAGCTGTACGGAAGTGACTTGGGGCAGGGTAATTATATGGTATAATTGTCAATTTTCAGCTAAATCTAATACAAAGCTGAGCCTTCTCGGACATGCCAAAGCATGTTTACATGGAGTTACTGAAGGAGCTATTTATTTGTAGGTACAGATGATCACATTTAGCACCCAAACATTACCTGATTACTACCAGAGTGAATAAATTAAAACCAATGAAACTAAGTAATTTCTTCATGCAGCTTCAAGTATGACACATAGCTGACCCTCTAGTGGGTTCTTAGAAGCAGTAAATCACATGGGAGTTGAGTGGCCATCTTTTTCACAAGAAGCAGGAGCAGCTAGCTGGCAGATTTGAAACAAATGGCCTTGGACTGACAGCACAATTCCTTGTCACTAGGCCACCTGCGATCCTTAGATTGAAAACAGTGTTATGCAATTTTTTTCGGTAAGTGACAGAACCATATTCTTCTTATGCATGCAAATGTTAGTAAAAATATGATTCACAATGGGAGAGAGGAACACTTTGAAAAATGAGGCACTCTCTGCCTCTAGTAACAGAAATTATCTACGAGTATTTAAACTGCTAATCAGGGTGCCTGAGTATGTGTCCACAGTGTGTGTGTGTGTGTGTGTGTGTGTGTGTGAAGGAAAGAATTACCCTATTCCCTTTCTCACTCATTATCTCTGGAGCTATATGTTGCCTTTAACATAGAGCTTTCTTCCTGGTTCAGATATTTGATTTTCTCTAGAGACCATAGGATATGATTATTTTTGGGCCTGGATTTCCTCAGAAGTGATAGTACGCCTAAGAATTATATGTTATTTGCATAATAATAATATAACATAATATATAGAATATAGAATATAGAATTAATATATAATATATAATTTGATGCTCAAGAAAAATTCTGGAAACTGATATATTCAACCATGTGTTCTAAGTAATATGTATAAAATTTGGGGTAGGTAAAAATTATTTAATCCATTAAAATTTTATTTATAATATTACAAAATATGAAATAAACATAGATTGATTTAGTATAATATTCTGTTTTATTGTTCCAGGATCTACTCAAATGAATTTTCAGTTGGGGGGGGGGGCTTCCTTTTAATATAATTCTATGGCAAGTTTAAATAAATTGATATAAACATTGCATTGATTTTTCATACTGGAAAACCCATTGACAATATCTAATTAAGCTTCTACTGTGTTATAGCTCATCTCCAATACTCTTGTCATTTAGTAAAGTTGTTGTTGTTAAGTACTGTCCAGTCAACAAAAGCTCAGCAACACTATGAACAGTGGTGAATCCTGCCCTATCCAGTGCAGTCTACATCATCTCTAACACACTAGACTTTGTGTCATCTGACATTCTCACCTTGAAGGATTTGAAGAGAGAGGCGATTTCTTGTCTTTTTATTCCTAGTTCCCAGCCCACAATGTGGCACACAATAGTCAATTAATGAAATTTTTCAAGTGAAACACGTCCAAATTTGCTTTCTCTTTGCATGGAAGAAATTAGAAGTTGTGGCTAGCAGTGTGCTTGTGCCTTATCTGTGTCTGGGAGATTTAAAGAAATGCACTTACTTTGCTTTACAGGGAATGAGTGTGTCATCCACCTTGCGACAATACCCATATTTTGACCCAATTTCATTCCTGCTGTAACATGACTTATCTGCAACCTCAGTTCCTGGGATTGGTTAGTTAAGGGCATAGGTGAAAAGAAAAAGAGATAAGTTCAATGCTACAAAGGACTTGTAAATTATAAAACCAATGTGTAAACTGCTACTTTGACATAATTTTAATTGATCATTAACAAATAAATTTTTGTTGTTTTGTACCATTGAGTCAGAACCAACACAGAGCTGATCCCCTCTATCAGGTTTTCAGAGGCAGTAAATCACAGGAGAAGAGATTGTCCACCTTTCTCCCATGGAGTCTCGTGTGGATAGAGGGTGGGGTTTGGGGAGGTGCGGGGTGGGGGGATTGTGTACCAATGAGGGAGTTTTTCTTTTGCTTTTCAAGGAGAGGAGCAAAAGGGGAGGGGGGAGGGGTGGGAGAAGGGTGCAACAATGAATGAATGGAATCCCAAAATCTCTGTAGATGTTCATTGAAATGAAAAATAAACAACCTAAATTTAAAAAAAAAAAAACAACAAAAAACTATTTGCCTTTTAGTTGACTACACAGCTCCTTATCACTAAGCCACCAGAGAGATAGTTGAGGTTGAGTATTATTTTTAATATTCTGCTATTGGGTGCTTACTATTAAAATATTTGGACAGTTTACTGAAGCATAAAATTCAAAGGGGAGCTCTGGTGGAAAATCCATAGTGAGTTGTTCTGCTAACCCAAAGGCCGTATTTCTTTACTGAATCAAATCCATCAGCACTTCTCAGGGGTAAGAGGGGCAGCATCCTCACTTTATGATTTACAGCCTTCAAAATCATATTGAAGAGTTGCTATGAATTGGAACTCACTCAATGTCAGTGAGTTTGAAAACTTTGAAAAATTAACCTAAAAATTAAGATTTAGCTAAGAGTACTTCATCTCACATGCAGATATTCAAATGTTATAGTAATTGTGTTATTTCATTTCATGTGTAACCTTTCTTAGAGTCCCACCAGTTAGGCAAACTCGGACTTGAAGAACTCCATAAGATTGAGGAGTGGTGTGGTCTTGGGGAAGTGACTTGTCCTCTTTTGGCTGGTTTTGTCTTTTATAAAATGAGGATAATAGAATGACTCCTACTTTGTGCAGGTATTGGAAGGATTAAATAACTTAATATTTGGGAACCACAGAGAATAGTACCTGGTCACTACTAAGCAATCAATAAAACCCTAGGTCTTATTAATATTATTCTCAGTTTACCACAAATTGAGTATCATATTGATTGTGACAGAATGATGAGATATCACACTTCACAGTTCTAAGGCTTCTATCCCTACTAGCACCCTGAAGATGAACAGAAAATTCCTATAAAACTCAAATGAAGTCTTAAACTACAAACAAAACCTAGTCTAAATTGAAAATAAGAAAAACCCTATGAAAATACTTCATTGGCTAAAAAAATAAATAAAAATGTAAAAAAAGTATTTTATAATTATAATTATGACTTGCAAACTCAGACTATTTTAAATACATTTTATATTGACTTATAAGATAGTATGAACTTTATTAATATTTGTTTATTTGTATATCAGTAACTTTTGCTGATTTCTTATTATAATAATAAAACATAAACACTGAAAAAAGTTTATTTCTAAGCCCCAAGTTAAGTAATTGCTACTAATTTTTCGAGTATTATCATTAATATACTTGTTCTTGTACAGTTAACATTTTTCACTTTACAATCTCTTTCAAATTTCCAAGCATTAAATATGCTGCATCTTAGCTGCAAGAATTTCTTTGCCTGACTATAATTTATTGTATTAATCTTTATTCTTAGATTTTAATATGATTTCCAATACTTCATAATACAATATATTGTTAAGTCTGGATAAAGAGGCCAAAGAGAAGAATAAACAATTCTGAATTCAAATGCTGAAGGCCTTTTCTGCTGCTGATAAGAAGAGCAAATGGCCTTGCCTGCCTGGATGATGTAGTAAGTGGATCATAAATCAGAGTGGAATGTCCCTCCCTAAAGACGCTGCTATAAAAACCCTCTCCAATAAATTCACAGTGTGACTTGCCCATTCTGTATTCTCAGAATTAGGAACTTCACCTGGGAGCTCCTCTATTCCCCCCTTGAATAAAGCTGCCTTAAGCTTTCTCTCATTTTCTCTGATTTTTTCCTTAAGTCTGCTAACTTAACATATATTTCAAAAAAATAGAATGTTATATATATAATTATCTGATTGACTATAAAGAAGTTGCTTGTGTCATCAATGATGTTCTGACACAGATCTTTATTTTATTTTTCTTTCATCTCACTTTTAGCATAAATTAAAGCATCAACTACCATTTAGATAGGAGTAACACTCATTCATTAGTTGCAACCAGCAGGTATTTATACATGCAAGAGTTTAGCAATAATCAATGAAGGAGTTCTCTGAAAAAGTAATTGGTTATATGTATTTTGGAGTAAGAGGATTGCACTTTATTATTATTTATAAATTGTGTGATGTACATTTCTTATATCAGTATTATTTATTATGAATGTCTGTAAAAATATTGGCTGAAAACTTTGTAAAGAAAATATTTCTTTTGTCACAGATAATTATTTTTTGTTAACTTTTTCTTTAGGTTGTCTGCTACTTCTGAATTCTCTTTGAATAGATGTGTGAATAATAGAATAGAAAGCTAACTGACTTCAAATATTCCTTGAAACACTTAATATTATTGTATATAGCAAAGTGAAAAACTATAAATTAATAACTTGTTTTTATTTCTTTTCTTATATTTGCACTCAGTTAAAATGACTTTCCTGTTTACTGAGCACTTATCTCTTAATGAACTCCCTATTCATGATAGTTGCCACATTTTCAATATTGAAGATTCCAATTTTTCAAAACAAAAGTATTTGCAGGAATTATTTAATATCTTAAGAAATTATTTTTATTGTTGCTGTTGTTATTTTTATGTGTAACTAGATTTTACAAACATATTGTAATCCAGACTGATCCTCCAGCAGGTTTTCAGAGGACTGTAATTGAATGGGAGTAGATTTCCCCATCATTCTTCCTTGGAGAAACTTGGCCGATTCGAATCACATGCCTTCGGATTGGCAGTCCATCTCTTTACTCACTGAGACACCTATGCTTTGCCAGATAATTTAAAATAAATATGCATCTTTTGTTGAAAAAATAGGGGAATCTTATTTAGTCAAATAAATTCCTTAAGTCTCTCCTTGGAAGCTAGGATTTTGAAGCTCCTCCTCACATACTTTGGTCATGTGGCCAGGAAAAACTAGTTCTTGGAGAAGGATGTCATGCTCGGAAGGGTGAGTGGACAGCAAAGGAGAGGGAGACCCAAGATGAGATGGACTGATAAAGTAACTAGGGCGATGAGGGTTGGCACATCATAATTAGTGAGACTGGCTCAGGCAGGCTTCTACTGTACGGGTCACTATACATAGCAGCAGACTCAATGGTACATAACAACAACATACTATATAGGTTGAATTTTTTTTTTTAACTTAAGCCTCCTGTTTAGAGTCAACAAGACCTCAAGGAGGGCCTTTGTATTTAAAGTTGGTTGTTCTTACATTTTGGAGGAACATTCTTCCTAGTGGACTCTTTTGTCAATATGCTGTATTAAGGTAGCCAGGGGTTCCTGTGAGGCTGAATCTTGTGCCATTGGGGTATCAAATGCCATAACGTTTACCCATGGTGGCTACTGTTTGGTAGAGTTCCCAATTTAAAACAGGTTTGGAAGTAGGAGTAGCATCCGCTTCCTAAACAACATGCCTCTGGAAACTATGAACTTTGATAAATGTCAGTAGTTATAGACAGGCTTCAGACCTTTTGTTCACAGGGTCCCTATGAGTCATGGTCGACTCAAAGGTAATCAACAACACATCAATAAGAGAATCGATCTTAAAAAGCTATGATTTAAAGGATCCTTCCATTCCAATGAATATGTTGACTATTAATTCAATAGACACTTTGAACATTTACTAATATCCTTCCCTGTACCAGGAGGCTCTGGGGACACTAATACAGATAACACAGAAAATGGTGCTTTTACAGACTTGTAGGGGAGACAGATATTAAACAGAGCCAGACAAAGGGAGAAAGTAAATAACTGTTAAAATGTATTGCAGTGATTTAATAACAGGTAATATAGGGCATGCTCATCATTATGGCACAGAACTTCAACTCTAGGCTAAAGATTTTCTTTCCCCAGGTTTTCCACAGACTCGATGTCTTCAAGGAAAAATTTAATTTCTACCAGAAGAACCATCTTTGTTTCCACCACCATTTATTATGTCCTCCACATGAACTATCAGTACAATCCTGAGGCGGCCAGGTTCAAAAATATCTGTGCACTTTTTTATGAACTCATGAAATCAAGCTTTGTTTTGCAAATAATGTCTTAGCCATCTATTGCCTCAAGCAGAGGACTATACTGAAATATTCCTAAAAAGCCTTGCCATTTATTTCCCAAGGGACGTTTTCTCCCTGCATATGTTATGAGTCAGTGTTTAGTTGATACTTTCTCAAATTTTTTCTTAATGTAGACTTTCAGGAATTATGCTTTTTCTGAAACGTAAATGTCTTTTTAAAATAGTTTTTAAAATAATACATTTTTCCCTCCATTATTTTAAAAATTACAGTTTTTTCCCACCATATCAATAAGAATCCGAATATGTGACAGGCAGGAAAGATAATAATAACTGAATAAAAATATACAACAGAAATCATATCCAGAAAGCCCAACTATATTTTTTAAATTTAAAATTTTAATGTTTAAATTATATTTTTAATCATATTATTTCTCATATTCTTTAATCATATTTATATTATTTAGAATAATATAAATCATAAATATATATCTCTATGTGAAATAGGCCAAATGTTAATTGATTTTAGAGTGGGTACAGCAGAGCTCTGTCTATTTTCTCTACTGAAAAAACATAGAGTTGCTGTGATGATGGACATCTGGGCCATAGGTGTGTCAAACATCATAATTGTCTACCTATCATGGCCAGTGTTTGTTGGAGCTCCCAGACTGATTCAGATTTGAAAGCAGGACAAGCATCCACTTCCTAAACTACATGCCTATGGAAAGTCTAAAAATGTGGAGAAATTATGATAGTTATAGAAAGGCTTCAGGCCTTTGTTCATCTTCTGTTTATATGTGTATCCTACCCTCATGTGTACTGACTTTATGGTGGACAAATCATTAAACAAGTTACACTCTTTGAAGAAATATGTGGTGTCAGAAATAGAAGGAGATTGAAGAAGCAGTTTTGAGAGATTTTTTGGGTGGTGAGAGCCTATGAGAATGCATGATTACAGAGGAATTTGGAATGATTGAGCTCACAGAGTTTGAACCATGCTCTGGTTCTTAAGTTCGGTAGGGCCCTAGAGCCACAGGCCCTCAGGCCTGTTTTAATTGTTTTTGGCCAAACATTCTTCTAGGTCGTATAGCCCTGGTCTGTCCACTTGCTGTACAGAGGTAACTCATGGTTTCTGTGAAGCTGAACACTGTAACACTGATGTATAAAATGCAATAATGGTTACCCATGGTGGACAGTGTTTGGTGGAGCTCCCCAATTAAAACAAGCTTGGAAGGAGGAGTGACATCCACTTCCATAAATAGCTTGCCTCTGGAAACCTATGAACCTGGTGAAAGGATGAAAGCTATACAAGTCTTCAGGTCTTTCGTTCATAGGGTCGCTATGAATCACCTATGACTCAATAGTAACAACAACAATAATGTGAAATATTAAGATATTTCCAAAATTATGTTTTTATTAAATTTCTATTAATTTGTTTTATGTTAGAATTTGGCTTCAAAAATTGTTATTTGGGGTAAAATAAGAACCCTAGTTTTTGTTTCTAGATTCCTCTTTTCCCCCTCCCTTTCCCCTCCCCTTGCTCCCTGCCTATCTCCCAGCATTCCAGCTCCTTCCCAGACCCCTCCCTTTCCACTTCCACAGACATCCATGAGTTTATCAGTGAATGATTTTGGTTAGATTGCCCATATTTATCCCCCAACGCAGCTGGCAGATTTTAATCAAATGTTTTTGGGTCAGCAGCCCAACTCCTCACCATCAGGTCACCAAAGTTACACACACACACACACACACACACACACACACACACAGAGGCAAGAAGTTGGCTCTGACTCTCGACTCTCCATCAGGTTTCTGAGGCGATCATTCTTAACAGGAACGTATTTTCCATCTTTCTTCCATTGAGAGGCTGGTGGATTCAAGTTGCTGACTTTTCAGTTATCTGCCTGATACGTTATATACCGTGCCACCAGGACTTCTTTATAAAACTCAGTCCAAATTCAAACTCATTGCTGTAGAATCAGAACTGACTCATAACTGACTCTCCCTCACGTTCCCAAGGCTATAAGTTAGACAAGAAAAGATTGCCCATCTTTCATCCAAGGAGCCACTAGTGGATTCAAGCTGCGAAAGAGACCTTGGTCCGTGGGTTAGCAGAGCAACTTCCAACGGACTAAGCTAGCAACACTCCCTAAATGCTCTATATTCCATGTTGTTGTTGTGTACAGTAGAGTCAGAACCTACCCATAGCTGAACCTCAGGCGAGTTTTCAGAGGCAGTTAATCACACGGGAGGAGATTACCCATCCTTCTCCCTCAAAGCTGGTGATCTCAAACTGCATGTCTTTGGGATTGCAATGCAGCTTCTTGCCACTAGGCTACCAGAGCTCCCTCTATGTTCCATAGTGCCCCAAATAGAAACTGGTGGTACAATGATTACAGAATTTTGTTGCCAACCTAAAGGTAGATGACTTGAATACAGCAGCTGTTCCTTCCTTATCAGGAGAAAAGACTTGAGTAGCTCTGCTCTTGTGAAGACTGCAGCTTAACAACCCCTATAGGACAATTCTATTCTGGTCTATAGGGTCAAAATGACTCGGAATAGACAACACACAGCAACCACACATCCTCCAAATTATTCATGTCACACACTTAAAGTAAAAAATAAATAACTGTTATCAATCTGAAATTTAAATTCAACTATATTTTTATTTATTAAATCTGTCAACCTTAAAACTAACTTTAAATCTTAACGTGGATTTATGTATGACTTTGAGCAGTGACATAGTTTTTTAAGAAGAACGAGATTATGATTATGATTAAACAGTGTCAGTTGGAATGATAACAGGTTTGTCTTGTGGTGGGTCATGGGAGGAGGCAGGAATGCCAGCCACACTGGAGTTTGTGCTCCTACCTGGTCCCCACATCCTAGTACACTGCTCCTGCAGTGTGGGGCATGTTCCCATCAAGCAGTAGCCTCTTCCATTTTGGCAAGGGAAGCCATTGACTCGGAATCTATCAGCAGGGCAATTGTTAGATTTACCATCACACATTTCAGGCAGGTCACATTCATCTTTTGCTGGTCTGCAGACAGTGCCAGCTGCTTTAAGCTGTAGGGGGAAAAGTAGTTGGAACAGAAGTTTTCCACATAGTTTCCCCTAATATCTACATTTAAAGAGTTAAAAGGGGAGTCGGGGGCGGGGGGAATCAATTGGCCTATCCAGGGGTGTGTGTGTGTGTGTGTGTGTGGTATTTAGAGACATTTTATTCCAGTTTACATTTATACTGTGTAAGTTACGCTACCTACTAAAATATACTTCTATTAATTTTGGCCAAGACAGTTGGGTGGTACAAACAATTTGCTTTCAGTTACTAAGGAAAAGGTTGGATCTTAGAACCTACTTAGCAGCCCTACGGAAGAAAGCCTTGGTGATCTGAAAGGTCCAGCCAGAAGAACCCTGTGGAGTTCATTTATGAACTCACAGGACATGGGCTCACTATGTGTCAGAAACAACTACTGGAAACAGTGAGGGGTTTTGTTTGTTTGTTCCACTAGTTTTGTGTTTTGTTTTTTTTTTTCTATGACTATTCAGTTTGGACAATCTTTAAAGACTCAATTTTCAAAAATTTTTAGTCCAAACAAGAAAGAAATATAAATTGAAAGAAAAAGTAAAACCAACCAACACCTAAAGAAGGATGTTATTTCTCTAATATTTAAATGCTGCTTTGTCAGGAATTACAAGTAAAGTTAAATCTTCAAGGAATTGTGGGTGAAGCGAATCTTCTGTACTCAGATAAGCATGTAAATCCAGGTCAGTGTACTCAGACATTTTCCCAGGCATCAAGTTTCCTAATCCTTCATTCCTTTTATTGTATTTTCAAGTATTTCTTGTCGACCCACATCTTTCTATTGAATGAGGTAGAAATAATTAAAAAATTCATTTGGTATATTAATTTAATTTACTACTAATCTTGATCTTATTTCCTTGGCTAAACTGTATTACAAATGGTGCTATTTATGCAAATTTGATAAAGTTCATATGTATACGGGAAGCATGCTTCTATCTGACTGAAGTGAGGAGGAATGCATAAAACATGTTCTAATATCTTCACACCAAAATTTCAAACGACACAGAGAATCAACTTTAATCCTCACTAATTCAGTCAGACTACCTTTTTTCCTGGTCACACAAACCTTGCTTATAATTAACGTTTTGTTGTTTGGTGTTTTTTTTTTTTCTTTTCCTTCTTGTACACTCATTTGGAAATATTTTTCATTTGGCTATTTACATGTCTGCTCATATTCTTTCCAGGCAAGTTGAAAGTTTTATTTTTTCCTTGCATATTCTTCAATGCAAATTCTGCAATGGTAATTGCTATTTCTATTTTTTATGTGTGGTAGAGGAAAGACTTCTGAATATGGATTTTACTTGTGGCCTCACCACCAACTAGGTAATTGACTAAATAGCCCTGAAAATCTACTAGTTCACAAAATTATTGTAAAAATTAATTGAGAATGTATGAATATGTTTGTTGTGAGGTACCAACAAGGTTATTACAAATCACAGCATCCCAATGAATAAGAGATCTGAACTTTCCTATCCTGTACCAGCAGCACTCGCTCCACCATATCCAAGTCCATTGTTGCGGTCACTGGGTCCGTTCATCATGTTGACAGTCTTGATCTCTTTCTCTGAACTTCTACCTTTCCCAGAAGGATGGTTTTTTGTTGTGGTTTGTTTTTTTTTGTTTTTTTTTTTTTTTTTAGAACTGGCCCTTTCTGATAGTGTGCCCAAAGTTTGTGAGACAGAATTTCTCCAATTTTGCTTGTTGCACTGCCTCCAAGATAGACTTGTTTGTTATTTTGACAGACCATGGGACATCCAATACTCTTTGTCCACACCACAAATGGAATATATCTTTACAATATTTGCTGAACATCTAATCACACTTTCCATTTTCATATGTATATATTATTGTACTAGCAAGAAAGTAAGTTCTTTGAGCTCAGAGACTAATTTTTTCCTGTCTCCCATAATCTCTAGAAAGCGACACTTCATAAACACTTCTTAATACTACTTAAATGCCCAAATTTTCCTGCTTTTGATCTCCTTTATTTCTTTCCAATTCCATATATTATACATTAAATATATAATTCTAAATATATGTTATCTTCGATATACATAATTTTAAATAAATATTATCTCAAATATATATGTATGTGTGTATAAATATATATATCTTAAAATATTTCATCCTGCATTTACTGAGAATCTAAACACATTCTGTTCTAGATAAAGAAGAATTTGACATAAACAAATGGGCATAATATGATAGAATTACAGGTAAGAACAGAAAGTAAAATGGTAATTATATTTCGAAAGGAAAGGACTAAAAGCTCCACAGAGAAAGTGACACAGAATTATGCTCATTCTATCTACGTCTGATGTCTAGGAATTTCATCCTAAAGTCCTTTTAATAGCTTACAACAGTAAACTCACAACAGTAAAGTCACAACTTACAACAGTAGACTCACACTATTAAATACAAAAGCTCTTCTACCCAATACACCATTAAAGGCATATATAAACTATAGATAGAAGATAAATGACATCAGAGGAAAGAACAAAGAAGCATTTAGGAGCAATTAAAATTGACTTCTGGAGTTTGTCAGATTTAAGGTCTTCCATTTTCTGCTCAGGGTTTCCATTTTCTCAAAATAGCAATGAAATAAATAATACCAACCTCAAGAGGTGTTAGAGGATTATCTACATCATGTACTTAAAACACTCAGGGAGGGCTTGATAGGAGGAATTGAGTGGGAGGAATTACTTGATAAAACAAAAAGTACTGATTTAATTATTTAAATTGATATAGTCTATGAGATAATAAAGAAAAAAGAAAAATTATTAAAATAGTTTAAAGGAATATTCTTACGTGGCATTTGTCACAGCATTCTCCTAATGCACACTGAAACTTCGTTTTGATTTTACATGTTTTAGCATCACAGCAAATGTTAGTACATTCCTAAGAAATATAAAAAAAAACCCGAATGCCCAATTACTTTTTTTTTGTCAGCACAGTACATAACATAATTTGTTCTTTACACAAATTTTACCTTGATACCGTCTGAAAATGTTTAATAGCTCTATCAGTGCAATAGGTGGCTCACTATTAATCTGATTCCTACTAACATCTTTCCCCGCCCCCTTTTTAGCATACATACCTTTCCCTCAGTCATACACAGAAATAGTGAAAGTCTCTTATTGTTTTCAGTAAAATAAAGATATTTTGCTTGATTAATTCTTTTATATATTCATTTAAATAATAACAAAGCATAAGTAATTAAATTAATGAATTATACATTTACATCTCTAGAGCAAGTGCTGAAAATCTGGAGACACAGTTCTTCATATATCTTTGATTGATTGATTAATTAGTATTTAAAGCAGAGTAGAGTCTCTTTTCTTCGTTTGGCAGAAATCAGCTACTTGCAAAAGGTACAGATCCTTATCTCAAAGACTACCTTTCAGTTTCCTTATGTCCATAGAGGGGTGTTACACTGAGATTTACAACTTTTAAAGTTTAAAATTCTTACCATTATTTCAAATATAGACAGCATCTGGGAAAAAGTATTCCTTTTCATAGAGTGAATAGATTTTGAAATTGCACTTCTCCCACCCCCAACAATTGATGAGCCAAACCCCTGAGATGCTGGTAGATTCTTCATGTCAAATGTTAACAAGTTGAGATCAAAGTCTCATTCAGAAACTCAAGTTCTGTGTGCTTATAGATCTGTTGGCAAGAACACCTGAGTGCAGAAGCATAAGAGACATAGGAGATTGCCTGATGGCATAGTGTGTTAGACTGCTAGCCAAAAGTTTAGCAGTTCAAATCCACCAGACTGTATTTACTCTTATGTAAATTTGGTCAAATAATGTAATGTACTGAGCACTATCACAGCATATTACCTAAATTAACTCCTCACTAAGTGTCAAGCCAAACAGAAATGTGAAATATATTCAACATCAAAGGGAATTAACAAAGCACAAGTTGGTAAATGTTACTTAAAACAAATGATATAGGGAAGGCACTCGGAGAAGGAAGTTTACAAAGCCTGTCAAGCAATTTAAAGCTTCTAATTAAAAGGTCAGAGGGTCAAACCCACCAGCTGCATGGAATAAGAATGATCTGGCAGTTCCCTTCCTTAAAGAGTTATAACCCTGGAAACCCTGTGTGACAGCTTTATTCTGTCTTAAGAGCTCTGGTGACCTCATGGCAAAGAGTTTTACTTTCAACTCAGAGTCAAGTGGTTCAAATCCACCAGCCACTTCATGGTAGAAAGATGGGCAATCTCCTTCCATGCAAATTATGTTGTTGTTGTTGTTGTTAAGTGTCTTTGAGTCGCAGGTGGCTCATAGTGACCCTATGAAGGAGAGTCCTCGACGCTTGGGTGCCTTTCATTCTCTCTCCAGGTTCATAGGATTTCCAGAGGCAAGCTAATATGGAAGTGGATGCCACTCCTCCTTCCAAATGCAAATTAGAACTTCTGAAAATCTACTGGAAAGTTAGCCATGTGTTGGTTCCGGCTTGAGGACAATGTGTTGAGTTTAGTTGATAAGGTCACTATAGATTCACTCTATGTCACAGTTGATTGGACAACAACCAGTTTGATTTTTATATTAAGCAACATGAGAACAGATATCAGATATTGTGGATCACAGTTCTACCTTGACACAGTGAAAATGCTAGTTGTAATGAATTTCACAGAATTAATAGGCTGGTAGTTTATTGGTTGATTTATTAGTTGCTTATTAAGTAATAAATTATTTGCTGTTAGAAGGCCTGACACAAAAATTTCCAAGTAAGCAAAACTCAAATTGCAAGATACTCTAGTTGTGTTTGGTTTTTTTATTTTGTTTTGTTTTTTTCTTAACAGACTCCTTATCTTCTTGACAAATACTAGGTCCTTCTGTAAAGATTTTTATAATACCTCAGGAGTCCCACAATCACAGTCTTCTCCTATTTCTACCAACTGGTTTCCACATATTGGAGTTGAGATGATATCTGTAGGCAGTGGAGCATTAGAGAGGCAATTTGATAATCTATCTTCAAAGAACTTGTCATAGCTGACCCGGCTGCAGGAACTAAAATCTGTGGGTATATAGAAGCTGTGAAGATAAGGGAGGAAAAGGAATAAAGTCATGCCTACAATGCATAGCTGTTGCTGTTGTTGTGTACCGTAGAGTCGGATCCAACCCATAGTTGACCCTCCCGTGGGTTTTCAGAGGCAGTTAATTGCAAAGGAGCAGATTACTTATCCTTCTCCTATACATAGCTAGAGCAATATTTTATGTAGAGCACACAATTACACAAAACTAACCAGAAAAACCAAACCAAATCTAGTGACCAAGCATTAAATCATCAACTCATTTTTCACCTGGTTTAACTTGGTTAAATCTAAGCTATTTCAACTTAATGTACAAATATTATTCTCTCAAAATTTGAGATTTAAACTGTCACATAGGTCTTGCTTTTTTAAAAAAACAAACATGTCAGACATATAGTTTCAGGTCATTTAGATGATAAAGTTCTAAAAATAGTTATATAATATTTACTTTTATATTTAAGATTTCACTTTTCCTCAGAACAATTCCTTTTGTCAGAATATCTTCATTCCACAGATAAAGACGATGTTTCAAAATTCAGTAAAATCTGGGAGAAATAACAACCTATTTCGCTGATATGCATCCATGACCTACTATATGGAGAGGCATAATAGAATAATCCTAGCTGAGGATGACTAGGGAAGCTGGATAGAAAAGAAAAAAATTAATACTTAAAAGAATTGTGAGGTTTTGGAAGATAGGATTCCTTGACAAGTTTGCCTAAAACAAGGCAAGAGCATTTAACTCTTTACATACATTTTTCCTCTCTTTTTGTAGGAAGTTTTACTCTTTTAACAAGATTCTTCTCCCAGGATCTTCTCCCTACCACCACCCACTCTGAAGGAAAACTTGATAAATCTGATGATTTTCTAAAACCAGTTCTTGGGTATTCTATAATTTCAAACATGGACATGATGCTAAAGATGACATAAATAGTAATACAGTCCAGACTGGAGCCAAGCCAGGGAAAAGCAGCATGGTCCCAGAAAGTCTCACCTCAGTGCTTTGTCCATCACACATATTGTAGAAGGGCACTTACACACGTAGGAGTCATGAAACATTCCAAAGTTATGACCCATTTCATGGGCCATTGTCCCTGCAACTCTAAGCAGGTTGTCACTGTGATCCTAAGGATGAGAATAAATGAACAGATTATATCTTTTGCAAACTAAATTATTATTCATAGTAAATTTTCCATAATTCACAATAAGTTTTTCATAATTAAATATTTTTCTCTCAATAATTAAAGTAGAAATACCACCTTTTACTTACAGTCTGAATTTTACTCTGGCCAATGGGTCACTATGATAAGGGGATTTGTCTGAATTCTTCCCTTGAAAAATATGATAGACTTAACTCAATAAAATAACAGTGGTGCCCCCCATTCTCTCCTCTTTCTTCAACTTCGAACATTTATACATATTTGGACCAGTTATCCTCCTATTTTCACAGCAGTTGTTTTATACAGTATTTGTCCCATGTGACTAAGCTATTTAACTCAATATAATTCCAAGATTATATATGTTTATCTGGTCTGTGCATTGCTGTACAGAGGTAACTTGTGGTTGCTGTGATGCTGAACACTGTGACAGTGATGTGCCAAACGTGATAATGGGTACCCATGGTGGACAGTGTTGACTGGAGCTTCCCGAGTAAAACAAGCCTGGAAATAGGAGCGGCATCTACTTCCGAAATGGCTTGCCTCCGGAAACTCTATGTACGAACAATGCTCAGGCCTTTCATTCATAGGGTCACTATGAGTCATCTAGGACTCGACGGCACCTAACAACAACTTATATGTTTATACAGTATTTTATGAAATAATTTTCCTTAGTGTTGCATGATATTCCATTGCATGAATGTACCCCTCTTTCTCACTCCACTTATTTGTTGATGGGCATTTGAGCTATTTCCATTTTCTTGCTATTGTGAATAACAGTGCCAGGAATATAGGTGTACATATCTCTTTTCATGTCTCAGGTCTTAATTCCTTGAGATACACTCCTAGAAGTGGAATAATTGGGCCATATGGGATTTTTATGTTAAGCATTTTAAGGAAATACGAAACCGTCTTTCATAGTGGTTGCATCATTTTACAATCCTCTCAATCCTCAACAGTTCAAAAGCGTTCCAATCTTTCTGTATCCTTTCCAACATTTATTCTTTTCTGTCCTGTTAAACTTTTTACTGCTACTGGGGTAAAAAAGGCATTTTTTTGCTGTTTTGACTTCCATCCCTCTAATTGCTAGTGATTTTGAACATTTATCTATATGTTTGTTAGCCATCTGAATGTCTTTCTTTGTGAAGAATCTTTTTATGTCTTTTGCCCATTTTGTGATTGGATTATCAGTCTTTTTTCTTAATGTTACCCCGTAGTAGTCTGTAAATTTTAGTTATAAGACCATTGTTAGAAATGTGTGTGTGTGTATATACACACACACACACAATTGTACGCAAATTAATTAAAAAATGAGGAGGAGAAAGAGATATATGATATAAATGGATAGACAAATATTGGATAGAATAGGTTTAGAAAGTGTGTAATTCTGCCTTTGGCTAGTACTTGATTGGAAGTATCAAAAAGGAAGATTTTCCCTGGAGATAAACTTGTTAAAAGAGAATTTGTTAGTGGGTGTTGACATATAGTCTAGGAGAAAAATTAATTATCAGTACTATGAGAAGATTTTCATTTGAAGGAATTTCTAGACCCACCTTGGACTTTTGATTGAAGAGGTTAATGGGGGCGGGGGGGGAGGTAAACAGAAAGAGAGAAAAAGAAAAAGAGAGAGAGAGACTTTGACCTTTTAAAACTGGAACAAACAAACTGCTTGACTTCTGAGGAAGGGTAAAGTTGGTGCTTATCATAGTCCACTTCCAGGACTTGAAGTTAAAGGAAACCGATGAGTATGCTCACTTGTAGCAATGACCTCAATCTACTGTAATGGAAGTAGGAGGCATGCAGCAATGAAGAGACAAGCTGAGCTTGGACATGTTTCTTCATAACTGTTCACCTGGCATTCACAGATGTATGAATAGGAGAAAAAGAGTAGCTGGCTTGAGGATTAAGAGGCAATGAGGACTTCTGGCTTATTGATTTGGTCCCATGTTGAGGCTAAGGCTAAGGGAAGGGATCACACTGTCTGGAATGCAGAGAGAAGTGTTCCAGGCGTCCTGAATTTTCAGCTAATACTCATTTGAACCTAGCCAAGGATGGCTGGAATGAGTTAACCAGAGTCCAATTCGATGAAGAAAAGATGATCCAGTCTGAGAGATAGTTTTGAATGCTGCAAACTGATCGTTTGCTCTGGACTGGACTTGGCTTGTAGAGGCGTTGTTCAAAGTTTCCAAATGGAATAGGAAATTTTTTCAGTAAAAGGGAAATGTTTGTTTCCCCAATGTAATGGTTTGATAGGCATAGGCAAATTAGAAATTGGCTATCTAAAAAGAGAATGTTAAGGTATGAAGTATGCAGTTGTCTTACATACTTTCACAAATGTAGTTATTAGCAAGATGATTGCAAAGAGAAAGTTAATTCTTCAAATATGAAAGTAAATGTCTAGAAAAACCAAGGTTTGGTCTGTGTTGTGAGAGGTTCATTGTTCAAAATGGTTTTTCTAGTCATTGAATTAGATTTTGTAACATAGATGTGTGGGGATAAGTGAATGGGGTGTGTTGCTCTATTCAAGGGGATTGACTAGCCTTGCCATTAATTTGAATGAGTTCGACAGCACAAATTGAGGATATCAGCAAAAAAATAATCAGATAATGCAGAGTGTGAGTTCTTCAGGGCCAAAGATTCCTCTGCGAGTCAGACCAAGGCTTACATGGTTCGAATCCACCAGCTGCTCCACAGTAGAAAGGTGGACAATCTACTACTGTGGAATTTACTGCCTCTGAAAACCTACTAAAGGGTCAGCTATGGTTCAGTTCTGGTTCAACAGCACACACCAACAATAAGAGCTCTATAATTTTAGCTGAAAGCCATGAGGGTAAAGGTTGACATTCCCATGAGCACATTTGGAAGCTGTCATAACTAAGCCGCTGTATTCTGCTGTTAACCTTACATATAGCATTTTGACTTCACTAATAAACTTATAGGAAGCTCTCATGGCCTAGTTTCAAGAAGCTGTGCTGAAATCCTGAAGGGATATGGTTCTAGGCCACTAGCTGTTCCGTGGGAGAAGGATGGGCAATCTCCCCTAGTGTGACTAACTGCCTCTGAACCACCCCCTGGAGGATCATAAATGGGTTGGTTCTGACTCAGTGGTAAACAACAACAATAAAGTTATATTCAAGTTGAAATTGAGGTTGAAGAAAATCAAAACTAGTCTATGAGAACCGAAATATGTTCTTGAATCTATCCCATCTTAATCTCAAAAGCATCTTATAAATAAGTTTGAAGCACTGAACACCAGTGATCAAAGACCAGGTGAGTTGTGGGAGGATATAAAAGATATCATCTATAAAGAGAGCAAAGGTTTGTTACAAAGACAGAAGTTGTTGCTGTTGTTGTTATGTGCTGTCAAGTCGCTTACGACTCATAGTGACCTTACATATAACAGCTCTAAAGCCTGCTCTATCCTATGCCAATCTTATTGTCTCTGACACACCTAACCCCATTACCCCAGTCACTGAATCAATCCATCTCATCTAGGGTCTTCCTCTCCTCCTCTGTTCCTCCACCCTTCCAGACATGACTTCCCTTTCCAAGGACTGGTCCATCCTTGAGTATGTCAGATGAAGCTTCAGAATCCTTGCCTCAAAAGAGTAGCCTGGTTTAACCCTCTCCAGGATGAACCTGTTTGTTTACTCTTCTCCAACACCGCAGCTCAAATGTATCAAGTCTCCTTCTACCAACCTTATGTGATAGGGATATCAGTCTCTCTGATTCATAGCAAGTGATTTCAAAGACCAGATGAGTTACGGCAGGTTATCAAGAATATAATCCAGAAAGAGTGCAAAAGGTCAGTCAGTACAAAGACAGAGGAGGAAGAAAAGACCAAAATGGATGTCAGAAGAAACTGAACATTGCACTAGAGCACCTAGAAGCCAAAGCAGAGAGACAAAATCAAGATATTAATCAGCTGAACTGAAGATTTTAAAGGACAGCATGGAAGACAAAGCAAAGTATTATAATGAAATGTGCAAAGAGCTGGAGTCAGAAAATCAAAGGAGTGGAACTCGCTCAGCATTTCTTAAGCTCGAGGAACTGAAAACCAAACTCAAGCCTTGAGTTACTTAAGGATGTTTTGGGCAGAATATTAAATTATCCAGGAAGTATTAAAAGAAGATGGAAAGAGTATGCAGTGCCATTGTACCAAAAGGAATTTGCAGACACAGAAGAATTTTATGAAACAACTTATGAGCAAGAGCCTGTGATGATGAAGGAAGAAGTTAAAGCTGTTCTGAAAGAATTGGCAAAAAACCAAGGAATTGATGGTATACCAATTGAAATACTTCAAAAAACAGATGTTGCCCTAGATGTACTAAAAACAGAAGAGAAAGAAAAAAAAATTAAAATCGATATCACAAGATGTGGATTGCCCCGCATAGTGATAGCCAGGTCACAGCTGAGATCAGAGTCCAGGCAGGACTGAGCAAACTCTGCAAGTAGAGAATTCAGTCCAATGCCCTGGAGGAGATACTGGATACCCTCTGCAAACAGAGGGTTCCTCCCAGCCTTCCACTGGAGGGGATGCCATGTCTGAACTTTGATCTTAAAGATTAAGCTTACACATTGATATGATGGCAACATTTAAGTATAAGTAAAATATAGTCTTCAGAGTTTAAATTTTTAGCTGGATTGACATAAAAACAATAGGGAGACAAAGAAAGGGGCCTTTTCACAGTGCTAAGCTGTGAGAGGACCTCTGCCTCAGCCTTCCTCTTTTCCGGAATTCATTTCCTCATGTCCTTGCTTCCTTCTACGTCTGATTTACAACAAGAAGAGATTCTGAAAATTGGGCTAGAAGGTAAGAAGCCAAAACAAAAGGAAAATATGCCAAAGTAAAAAAGCTAAGCAGAAGATTTCAAAGGACAGCTGGAGAAGATAAAGCAAAATGTTATAATGGAATATGCAGAAAGATGGAATGAGAGAATATTAAAGGGAAGAAGTCATTCTGCATTT